GTGATACAATATAAAAGTTATATGACATTAACATAATATCAGAGATCCTTATTTCCATTGTTTTCTTTACTCTAGAGCCATCATTCTTTAGAGAAATATTCTTCGAAAAACTCAAGCTTTTTATATTTATAAGATATAAAACGATGATAACACGCCATCTGGTATAATTTTCCAATTGTCTACGCAGAAAAACCGGCAGGGAGAGTTAAAGGAAGATTGGTGGTGAAAAAGAGGAGGGTGAAGGGTAAATATCGTTCACGGCGATATCCACGCGAGTTGCATGTTAATGTATGATAATAGATGTTATAACGCGTGTTAGAACATGCGTAGACTTTAAATCATTCAGCTTCAATAAGCTTCGTTCAAACGAAAACGTGTCACACATTTTTACGTGTAAACGTGATATTTACCAAAATAATATCTATTTAGAAAATAAAAATTCGAAATCAAATTATTTCAAATTAAATATCGTTTAAGAGAAGAAAAGAAAAAAAAAAAAAAAATAAAAAAAAAAAAAAAAAAAAAAAAAATCCTAGGATCAAGAAATTTTTTAATTAAAATATGAAGGATTGAAAATAATTCGCATTTGAAAAGATAAACGACAAAAATAATGATCATATTGTATCTACAATAATTATTAAGATTAACGTGTGTTAGAACGTATGCAGATTAAGAAAAAAGAAAAAAGAAAAAAGAGAGAGAAAAATAAACGAGGATCAATGAATCTCGTTAAATAGAAAGGATAAAAAATAAATCTATTTGAGTGGATCAAAATTAAAAATGAAATTATATTTGAACTAATCTTTGATCGTTTATTTTTCCTCCGACGTTAACAAATTTTTTTTAGCTTGAACAAATAGGAGGAAACTATTGGACAACGGATAACGAAGTATTGAATCGAAAAATGACATAGAAATAAAGGCGTTTATTATAAAATACGGTATAGGAAGTAAAATATCGTTTTAAGCCTGCACGAATTGACGAGCGAGTATTAAAATGGATTTTTTTTTTTCAAAGAGATCACTCTATCCTTCTCTCTCTCTCTCTCTCCCTCTCTCTATAGCACTTATCTTTTCATCTAAAGCTTATATAATATTTTCTCACTTTCAACAGATCGAGTGGATCCTTATCGAGAAAATCTAAAACGCGAGTCCATAAAAGAAGATCATACTGAATGTTATGTTACAGATGGGAGATGTGTTCGATTAAACTCTACTACTTCGTCCTAGTGAAACGACACGTTTGGGAAAAGAGACGATACAGAAAGAGGGAAAAAAAGCGATAAAGAAAGAGAAAGAGAGAAAGAAAGAGAGAAAGAGAGTAGGAGATCGTGTCGTTCGATATTGCTCCAATGTAACGACGCTTTATTCACTGTTTTACAAATGAAACGCATCCCCCGAGGATGAACGAACAAACACGCGTTTCTTTTCTTTTTCAAAAAGAAAACCCTACAACGAGATAGATTATATTATATTGTTTAACATAGCCGCTTTGTCCACTAGAAACACGAAGCAGCATATCGTTCGATTGTTCCTCTCAAAGTCTCGCTAAAGCGTGAAATCATTGACATACAAAAGCACGAATTCCGTCTTGTCAAAATTTCCAACCGATCGACTCTCTATTAAGTGCATCGTTCGTGCAAATCTCCATTAATAATCTCTTCGTCATGTACTATTTTATATATATTTATATATATATATGTATATATATATCTATCTGTATATAATAATAATAATAATAATAATTACAATAATAATATATAATAATAACAAATATATTTATATATATATATTCTTTTTTTCAAAAAATACTTTCATTATTTTCAATGAGCAAAAGAACAAAGAAAAAAATGAAAGGGAAAGAAATGTACTTCATTATTTAATGAAACAAAAATAATACCGATAAAATTTGATATCAATTTAACACGTAATAATGCATAAATAGAAAAAAAAAAGAAAAAAAAAAAAGTAAAAATAAAAAGAATAAAAACAATTGATAATAATCTTTTAAAAATTGTCTATATTCAATATAGTTACGAAATAGTTAAGCCTGTTGATATTACGTGATCGATTTAGTTACTTTACGTTCATGAATAGAAATTGTTCCTTGACCCAGCATCCTTCGGTATATCAACCAACGTACGTCTAATTTTACATTCTGCGACGGAAGAACGTAATAAACAATTTCATCGATATTAATCGATGGCTATATAACTCGAATGAACACGAACTCGTTAACAAAGCTTTCCGAAGGATCCTTTTATGTGTATGAATGTGTAGATGGGCATTCGTGTATCTATGTATTTATTTCCTGGTGTTCTATAAATCATGTATTATTACGGATGATTTATCATCCTGTTTGCTGTTACCCACGAGATATATATTTATAATATCAATTTTAAAAGATATCTTTAAATGTAACATACTCAATCGTATTTTACTCATATATATATTTATGAACATATTTGTATTTATATTGTATGTATGAGTGTATATGTGTATGTGTATGTATATATATATATATATGTGTGTGTGTGTGTGGATATATGTTCATTTAGATATCACTGTTTTTCATTTTTAACAAATTCTTTGAAACATTCATACACAGATCGTCAGATATCAAATATCGAATCAATTCTCGATTGATGCGTCTCATTTTAAAAGGTAACAGAGAAAACCGATATGCACTTCTATATCCGTCCTATTTTACACACATGTTAAATGTGTATCGATGAAAAAAGAATGAAAGATATAAATTTCAAATGAATCTACGGGAGAAACAAATTTGTAACTCCTAAATTCTTTTCTGTTTTTTCTTTTTGTTTCTTTCTTTCTTTTTTTTTTTCTTTTCTTTTTTTCTTTTTTTTTCGCACGGAACTAAAACGCCTTTATTGCACGAACAGAGAAATAAAATGCAAAGAAACAAAATGAAATAGAAAAAATAGAAAAAAAAAAAAAGAGAAGAATAAAATAAAATAAATAAATAAATAAAAAAGAAAGAAATATATGTTTCACATTTCAAACGAAACTCACTTTTACGAAATAGAAGCTGAAAAGTGAAATTTTATATTAACATTTATATATAAGTTCTATATTGTTATATAACGTTTATTATTAAATATCTCATGAAGGAGTTGAAAAAACGAGTACGTTTGTATTAAAAAAAAAAAAGAAACTTTGGTTACATGTGAAAAATAGTCATGGTCTTCGTTCTTTTTATTTTCTCTTTTTTGTTTTTCTTTTTTCCTTATTTCTTTCTTTTCCTATTTTTTTTTTCTTTTTTTATTCTTTTCTTTTTTTTTGTTCTCTTTTTTTTTTGGAAAATCTTATTACGCAATGGCGGCGACACAGTCCAAGCCAATATTTATCAATTTTATCTCGAAGAAGAGAAAAAGAGTAAGAAAAGCATTTTTATACAATGTCTTTAGAAAGCGAATGTGATATATATATATTTATATATATATATGTGTATATATATATATATTTATATATATTATGTAATAAAAGAAGTTCTATTTGTGTTATCGAGAAACATTACAAGGAACATTCATTGTTAAAATCGTAGACATTAAGAAACGGAGAAACTGTCCTTATTTATTCAGATAAATTTAACGAACGTCTTTCATCGCAATTATATTGATAATAATAATAATAATAATAACAATCATTATTATTTTTCTTATTAATATAATAATTATTAATGAAAGATAATAATTACCTTTCTCTTTTTGCTTTTATTAGTAATAAAAGAGTATAGAAATGTAATTTCACGTAATTAAAGGTAATTCTAATCAATTTGGCCGCAAAAGATTACTATAAAAAATTCTCATCGAATTGAATAACAATTATAAAACGTTGAACGTTATTAAGAATTTTATTTCTATTCATGGATATAAATGATGATAAGAAGTCTATTTGAAATAGGACACGTACTCCTATTATTTATACTCCTATTATACATACATTTGTACGTATTATGTATAATAAAAAGAAATAATAATAATTTTATGCGTAAAGATGTGAATATCGGTTTAATAAATCTATCGAGGAAAATAGAAATCTCGATTTTTTTGCATACGTGCGTGTACGTGTGTGTATATTTTTTTATATAAATATATACATGTACATACATATATATATATATATATATATATATATATATATATCGAATAATCTGAAAATTTATGTGAAGGTGGAAAAAAAAGAAAAGAGAAATCGATGCACGAATTTGATAGAACATTATATATATATATATTTTCGTCGAGTATCAGCGAAAAGGATATTATAAATTGTACGATATGTTTATTATCCATATCTATAATGTATGTATCTATGTGTATATTAATATAAGAACAATTTGCAATTTTATATATTTATGTATGCATGTGAAATTTCTATAATCGCTCAAAGAAGGATTTACAGATAGTAGCGAGATCGCTCAACTTAGTTTCGTTGTATCAATTTCGCCTACTTCGAGGAACAAAGTTTCGAGTCTTTTATTTTCTCCAGATTTTTGGTTATTTTTTTTTCCCCCTTTTCTTTTTATTTTTTTTTTCTTTTTCTTTATTTATTTATTTATTTTATTTTTTTTTTATTTTTTGTCAATATCGAATATGTATATCATATAACGAGTATATAAATTAATATTTATCGTAGTAGGATTTCTCTCTAAAAGCGATAATTATTTATCCTTCTTTCTTTCTTTCTTTCTTTCTTTCTTATAATTAATATTAAGAGTCTCAACTACTTGCTATTCTTTAGTTTTTTTTTTCTGTATTTTTTCTTTTTTTTTATTTCCTTTTTTTTCCATTTTATTTCTTTTTTTTTTTCTTTTTCATTTTATTTCTTTTTTTTTCACTTATTCATCTAATCACTTAATTTTCGATCTTCTACAACACGAAAACTACGATACAAGTAGATAGAAAAAAATAAACAAATAAAAAACAAAAGATATACGTAGACCTATTTATAAACGTTTTTAATGCGTTTCTTTCTCATTTCCTGTTTTGTTTTTTTTTCTTTTTTTTTTTTTTTTCTTTCTTCTTTTTTATCATCTTTTATTCAAAAGAAATATAAGAACCGATAGAGGAAAGCTTTGGATTCTCTTCGCGATATTCAATTTAGTTCGATTGAAAAGTGATTCTATTAAATCTTTGGATCCACTTTCTCGTCTATTAATCATTTTTATTCTTCGTTAAAAACAAAAATAATAGACTTTAACAGCGAACTCTCCTCGTTCCACATTTGCACCCAACAGTAAAATAGTATCTCCCTTTTATTTTATTCTCCTTTCATTCTCCTTCTTTCAATCTGACAATAAAATTATCTTTGTTCCGTAGTAAATGACGAAGCGACAAAGTGAACGAACGAACGAATTAGTCTCTCCTTTCGCCGGTCTAGGACAGTTTCTCATCGTTATCAAATCCATTGCGCGATCAGTACCACGTAAATCCCTTTGGACTGTATCGACATTGTATCTCGTAGAATCGGAATAAAGATTCGTGTGCAACGATCGTAAATACGTTGCCAATAAAATCAATATAGAAATTCACCATTCTACGAATTGCTAGAATTTATTTTGATTTGTACCAAAAGAAGAACATTAATGTATACGTTTGTATGTATGTATGTATGTATGTATGTATGTATATATGCATCTACATATATGTATGTAAGTACCTATATATTTTAAATGCATTTTCTTATTTCATTTTATTTTTTTATTTATTTATTTTCTTTTGGTTTGTTTGTTTTGTTTTGTTTTTTTTTCTTTTTTTGTTTCAAAGATTCAGGAAAAGAGTAAACAACGAAAAAGTGATATCGTTGATACTCTTTCTCCATCGTCGAGCTTTGATCGTATTAATATTATTATTTATATCTATTCGTTCTTCTTTGTTTTTTTGTATTTGTTACTTTTGCTTTCTTTCTTTCTTTCTTTCTTTTTTTTTCTCTTTCTTTCTTTCTTTTTTTTTCTTTTTTGTTCTTTTCTTTTTAATTATTATTTAATCTTATACTCTCTTGTAATTAATGTGTGGTTAAGACAAAATAATCTCTACCGGTAGCTCCGAACGATCTTCTTAACAAGAAAATCCATCCATCTTCGAGTTCATCGATCAGTATAACAAGCCATACCAGTGTGTGCATACTTTCTATTCTCTGTGCAGCCTCGAAAGTTCTTCTCTTCGACTAACGTCGATGATGAAGTTTATGAAGGAGGAAGTCTTCGCGAAAAACGAAGAAGAATAATCGATATTATCACGTCGTACGATCGAGGTTGAACGTTCCGTAGTATTGGCCGACACGATATCACCATTCCATTTAGGAAGGTAATATCAGCTATCTTCTTTCCTTCTTTCCTTCCATCCTTTTTTCATCCTTTGTCGAATGATGTTCAAGTCGATCGCGTATAATCGAACGCGAAAGGAGAGCCAAAGTTGTTACGCGTTTATTCGCGTACAAAGACGAATTCGTTATAATGATTCCAACGAGTTTCTTCAGAATCGACACCTGGTTTAAGTAATTCAAAATTACCGCCAGCTGTACCGGAACCACAGCTACCGGCTAACTTAAATCCTTGTTCTTGAAGCATGTCAAAGGCTTGTTCAATAAAATTATGTTTCAGAAAGAATCGTGATGTATAGCGATCTGACATACCATGATTAGGATCACGGCTTTCATTCAAGGTCTCCCCAAAGACGTCTCTGCAAAGAGCCACGCGTCCGCACACGAGGATCCTTGAAATTTTACGGAACTTAACATCGGTCAAACCTTCTCGGCCAAAAGCAAAACTTCCTCGATAACCAATGGTTATATATCCAGGTGCTCGTTTTCTACAGGTCGATGATCCTGCACCCTCTTCGCTCTTTTCATCAATGGCTCGTTCCAAATTAGACAAACCATAATAATTCGCTTCTTGTTTAAGTCTCTCTCGTTCTTTTAATCCCTCAGGTAATACGACACGTTGATCACGAAGATAATCAAGGATATAACGAAATAGAGTACCGTCGCGATCAAGAAAATATTTGCCAGTGGAATCCTTTCGAAGTAGAAAGTGTCCGTCGGTGAATAATATACCCAAATGAGAATTACTTTCTTTAGTTAAAGTATCCAGGGTGGTAGTATAAGATATACCACCCACGTTAAGATCCACTATTTTTGATATCTCCTCCTGTTGATCCACCATGCTCCAGATTAAATACCTCAGATCAGTAACACGCGCTTTAACTGAACTTGTCGTGATCAGACAAGTTAGGAGAAAAATATTTAAAGATCTGATCACTGATGATTAGAAGAAACACATGTGAAAGGATTGATTAGATTGATGAATTTCAAATTAAAAAATATCTCTCTAGTTTTCTAATCTCTCTTTCTTTCTCTCTCTCTCTCTCTCTCTCTCTCTCTCTATATATATATATATATATATATATATATATATATATATATATCTGTCTATGTCTCTCTTTCCTCTGACTCTCTCTTTCGAAATGATGAGACAAATTATAAACAATCGACTTTAAGAGCTTTTAATTTTATAGAAATTGACTCGTGAAAAGATAAAAAACGACTGTACTTGCAATCGTCGAAAGAAGCTCGAGTTACCTCGCACGGACACTTCGCGCGCGCGACAGGACTCGGAAAACAGCACGTATGTATCTTGTGCACGATATCCGACGACGAATGGACGACGACGCTGGCGCGGAGAGCATTTTGCCGAGGGCGCAGACACCAAAGACGATAAGGTGGTGGAACGCGCGCACACGCTGAGTTCTCGTTATTCGATCATCGCCATGCGTTATACTTTTTCATGCGAAAAGAATTTTTTAAAAATTTGTTTGATGAAAGAGATAAAAAATAAAAAATAAAAAATAAAAAATAACAAAAAATCGAGAAAGGAAAGTCGTCAAGTTTTTCGTGATTTATTGATTTCTAAGAAAAAGAAAAAAAAAAAAAGAAAAACAGAAAAATAAATTAAAAGAGAACGCTGTCCTTTATTTTTATTTAAAAAAATAAAAAATAAAAAAGCGAAGCGTATTTTTATAGAATCAAAAGTAATTTCGAATAAGATATCTTAATAAGAGATACAATTTATGATTTATAATTAAACTCTATAATTAAACCAGACGATATGGAAACCTTTTCATAGCCTCACGTAATATTTCGCAAATGTGTTCATTATACTAGTGAAAGTGTAATATCACTTGAACTTTATATACCATCTCGTTATGCTCGGTCTATCGTTAACTTATTGTACATTCAAATAATTGCCTAGTTGCATTCTTAATCTTATATAAAAATCAAGCAACTTTTTTAATTTAAATTTCTATTATTAATATATATATATATATATATATATATATATATATATATATCCTTAATAAAACAAGAACAAAGTTATACTTAAAGCACGGAATAATAATTTCTTTCTAATCAACAAACGTCAAACGTTTATCCTTTATTATCCGATTGATATCTTATTTATAACATCCGATTTTCATATTAACAAAGACTAATAAATTCGAAGCGCGTCGTTAAAACTCAATCTCGTTATAAAATGATTTCATATGAGGCGCGCTAATAAGTAAGAGACGTCATGTCGCCGAGTTCAATCGATGATACACGAGAATAACCGAGGTCAAATGCGAAAGAGTGTCACGTGACTCTCGCGTATCTACAGTAACAGTCGTAAGATAGCGCAGCGATCAGTCGAGTTTAGAACGTTCATGTGGGTGGTATTTATTATTTACACCATGACACGTATCGTTGGAGGAGAAACTGTCATTAAGCTATTAAACATAGATTATAATTTTCTTTGAAAGAGTACAACGAAGGATATATTTCCAATCAAGTGATTAGAAAACGTGAATGAAGATATTTTTAATAGACCAATGATTATGTACCATATTATTACGCATGCGAGCTTCTTATCCCTTTCATCGTCCATCGATAAGCTGGATGTTAACTCAGTTGATTGAAATAACGTCATAGTGCTCATATCATTTCTATTAATCCAAATATTATTACGTATTACTTATGCATTTCAATTGTCTTATCATCAAGGGTCTATCAAAAGTGACGATTTTTTTCGTTGGGAAAGAAATATGACGGAAGAACGTAATAGGATACAAAACGAGGACTCTTCGAATGTTACTGGTAATAGCATTTTAAGAAATCATTTTTGGAGTCATACATTTGATAGCGAGGAAGGAGAGGATGGAAATGAGAATGGACTTCTTCACAATGACTCAAGGTCAGTACATATAATCTTATTAAAAGAAATATTTCGTTTAAATCGTTACGCATTGTTCTTATTTTTTATTTTCGTTTTTGTTCTCTCTCTCTTTCTTTCTCTCCCTCCCTTCCTCTCTCTCTCTCTCTCTCTCTCTCTCTCTCTCTCTCTCTCTCTCTCTCTCTCTCTCTCTCTCTCTCTCTCTCTCTCTCTCTCTCATTTCTATTATTACATATTATCTGTTTTCTCCTGTATATCTTTTCTTTTTTTTTTTTGAATCATTTTTCTCGTTCGTCCATTGTTCTTGTTTAAATGAGACACGGCGACCTTTCGATTTCTATGATTTGTCGGAAATAAACATATAAAGCAGCGCACTCTTGTTTGGAATATAGCGGGAGTTCTACGAATGAGTCGATAAATCGTTCGTCAATCAGTTCAGTTAGAAACGTTGCCCTGGTATCAAGATATATGTATCTTTGTCTTTCCCATAGTCGTGCTTTCCCTTTATCTCTCTCTCTCTCTCTCTCTCTCTTCTTTCTTAATGGATTTCGATTTTAAAGCAGTTTCACTCGTTTCCTCGAGTAATCCTGTAAAAAGTAGGTTAAACGTCGACGAGTAAAATTTCTCTCTTTGAAACAAGTGTTTCAAATGTAGACATTTAGTTTTATGCAAGATCATGAACGTGTGTTATTGGTAAGTTCTTTTTTCTTTCCTTTCTTTATATTTTTTCTTCTTCTCCTTCTTCTTCTTCTTCTTCTTCTTCTTCTTCTTTCTCTATCATCCCATAATAATTCTTACTCTAAACTTTATTTTTTCTATTGTTCATAAAGTAAAGATACTACGTATCATTTACGTCACACGATAAGAGGTACGCATTAAATATCTCTTTTTTAGTCTACCTCTCTCCTTTTACCAACAATCAATCTCTATGAAGAATTGTTATTATTTACAATTACGTAATAAAAATTTAACAATGTATATTTAATATACATTGTTATAAGATAAGATTTAATAATCTTAAGGAAAATAATATAATATAATAGAAGTGTAATAAATTAATCTTATTATTTGTAATATATAACATGATTTTCGTTTCAATCGAAAATTTCTAAATTATCATCCGCGTGATTTAATAAAAGGGATTTTAATATAAAGGATTGAAAAAGCGCGGGAAAAATGAAAGAATTATTTGAAATTCCATAGATGGAAATATTTATTATAGGAGAACGATTATAATCGTTCAGAGGAATCGTGAATTAAATCGACTTATTATGTATATCAGTTTCGTATGAAATGATTCATAGATTTTCATCTGTTCTCTATACATATATACATACGTATATATTTATATACATATATATATATGTGTGTGTATAAATGTATGTGTATGTATATATATATATATATAGAGTTGTATGAATTGTAATTTGAAATTAACATCAAACGTAAATGTTCATTAATATTAACGAATTCATGTATAATCGTGTGAGCTACATTTTTGTTACAAATGATCTCCATATTGTATATTCAAATTAAATATTAATAATAATAATAATAATAATAATAATAATAATAATAATAATAATAATAATAATAATGGAAAATAAAATTTTGTCGAAAATCGTTCGATCAGTCTAGAAAATAAAAGGGAGAAAAAAATGGGGAAAGGGAGAGTATTTTCCTTTTATAATTTCATATTAACTTCTTAATAGACACACAAGTAGCACAAATATATAATAGATATCGTATCATTAAAAATACGACATTTTCGTGATTTAGATTGCGTTCAACGTTCAGTAACATGCAAAAGATAAGATTGTTCTGTTATGTCTAATTATACATTTGAAATCAAATATGACTATATAAATGTGTGTGTAAAAGAGAAAGAGAGAGAGAGAGAGAGACTTCTGTTTTAACGAGAACGAGCAAACATATTACCGATAAGAAATTATCTTCTCAAATATTTCAAGTGCGAAGGATAAAAGTAACTGTATAAACGATGATGAATAAATGATTTATTAAAAATTATTCTTCAAAAAAAAAGAAAAAAAAAAAAAAATTAAGAAAGAAAAAAAGATATTAATTTCACTCTAACTCTATCTGAATTATATTTGTGAAGCTGCAATAGACCGATCGCAGAAAGACGCGATAATTGCGCCATGACGACCTTCGCCGAAGATAAAATGAGAAGGAAGCTTAGATTCTTTTTCATGAATCCAATCGAAAAATGGCAAGCCAAACGAAGATTCCCGTATAAGTTCGTCGTACAGGTCATTAAAATAGTTTTGGTCACTGTGCAACTTTGCCTATTTGCTCATAACAATTATATACATGTCAATTACACGTGGGACAACCGTATTACATTTTCGCATCTCTTTTTACGTGGATGGGACAACACGCAAGAGGTAAAAATAAATATGTAAATATTTGAGAATGATAAAATGTCAATAGAAAATAATTGATCAATAAATTACTTTGCGCTTTGATTCAATTCGAAGGAAAAAAAAAAAAAGATAAAGTAAAAGACAAAATACCGAATATTGAATGAAGAAAATTTAAGAGACTTAATATTTGAATTAATAAAATAGACCGATTCTAAATTTATTTTGGATCATTAAAATTAAACAATTATTTCGAAATGTATACTAATCGTTTGTTACATCGATGAAAATTTTTTGTCTTTTTTTAATTTTAATCATTTTATCAATATATCTATAGGTACCTGCCTATCCCCCTGCGACTGGCCCATTAGCTCTCTACAAAAAGGATGAATTTTTCGACACCATCGATTATGCTCTAAATGGCTACTATAATCTTAATAATTCCATCGGTTCGTATTCTTACGATGCTGAGGATAATACCGCAGGACCCGTGAAATTATGTTTATACTGGTACAAGGAAAGCATTATATTCGGCTTCAATGAAAGTTATGTCTTCGACAAGGAAATCATAAAGACTTGCGTGAATATAACTAAAGAATATCATAACAACTTTAATAACTCGAGGAATATATTGTCTACGCAAAATGTTATTGTAAATTTTTCTGCTTTGGTAAGAGCATATTTGAAATTTGCCGTTAAAACTGTTAATTTAAGAGCTGCCGGACCTATGACACCACCAGATTGTTATCAGTTCGATATTAAAATAATTTTTGATAATCGCGATCAAGATGGACAAATGTTATTGTCATTGGAAACTGAACCACAAAGATTATATTGCAAAGGTGATACCCGGTATATAATGGACAATCAAATTGAATCTGCTTTGAGAACTTTGTTAAATTTACTCGTGATATTTATCTGTACTATCTCCCTTGTCCTATGCTCGAGAGCCATTTTCAGAGCGCAATTGCTTAAATTCGAGACGATGAATTTTTTCAAAAAGAAATACGGAAAATTATTGAGTTTCGAAGGTAGATTGGAATTTTTGAATCTCTGGTACATAATGATCATAATTAATGATCTTCTAATCATCATAGGTTCTGCCGTGAAAGAACAAATAGAGAGAAAATATTTTGGTAGCGATCATTGGAACGTATGCAGTATATTTCTAGGTACGGGAAATTTATTGGTATGGTTTGGCGTGTTACGATATCTTGGCTTTTTCAAAACGTATAACGTAGTTATTTTAACATTAAAAAAGGCTGCACCTAAAGTAGCTAGGTTTCTTATATGTGCTATATTGATATATGCCGGGTTCACTTTCTGTGGATGGTTAATTTTAGGTCCGTATCATATGAAATTTAGATCACTTGCTACAACTTCTGAATGTCTGTTTGCACTTATAAACGGTGATGATATGTTTGCGACATTTTCAATAACGTCTTTCAAATCACCAATGCTTTGGTGGTACTCGAGGATTTATTTATATACTTTCATTTCTTTGTACATTTATGTCGTTTTAAGTTTATTTATTTCTGTGATAATGGACGCCTATGATACGATAAAGACTTATTATCGAGATGGCTTTCCAAAGAATGACCTACAAACATTTATATCCGCTTGTACGGATGATGCATCGAGCGGTCTATTCAGAGACGAATGTGATAAAAATAATATTACAGAACTTATAGATAGGTTTTGTTGTTGTCGAAAAAGATCCTCTTATGGATCTTTCTCTGGATCAACCACAGACGCCTCCACAAAAACCGAACAAGTATATGGAGGAGCCATCTGTATATAGTTTGTTAAAGGATTATTTTCCCCGTACAAATTATGGCTCCACTGCTACGTTATTATTATAATTAAGCATTTAGAGAGAATCAAAGTTTCTTTTTAAAATAAGAAAAAAGGAAAGTTTGTAAATTCTTGTGTCCATTTGCTAGACGATAATTCAATGGTGCTAGCATTATGTAAGATCTTTAATTACTATCACAGAATAGTAGAAAGAATTAGAACATTTTGTTTCTAATAAAATTGTACCTTTCTCTTTTTTTTTTCATCTTCTTGTTTTAATAATCTCTTGCATCATTCATTATGGTTTTTATTCGACAAAGAATATATAGAAGATCTTCTCTTCTCTTGTATACGATATAATTATATTAAAAAGATTTATCTTTCTAACAGACCTATGCCATATTTTTATGATGATGTTTATAATAGGAGAATTAACGTTTTTACGATAACGTATTGTATATTTTATTATTATGAGACTACCTGCTACGATAATTTTTTAATTCAAACCGTTAATATTATTCTTTTAGTAACAATGAAATTCTAAACCTTAAGTAATTATTTACTTAAATTTATCTGCCATTACTTTCGATCGAGTAAGATCACAAAAAATATTAGAATCAATTATTTCGAAAATGACAATAATTAATGATTAAAAGTAAAAAAAAAAAAAAAAAAAAAAAAACAAACTCTCTTAATCATAAACAAACATTCAATTGATCTATTGTTACATGGTAAATGTATAAAAAAAAATTTTAGATGATGTATAAAAAGAAAAGAAAGAAAAATAAAGCAACTTTATTTTATATATATATATATATATATAAATTTTTTTTTCTGTTAAATAATATGTGTTAAAATTGATACTAGCTTTCTTTACTTTCATATTGTGAATCTATGTATAATAGATATAATATAAGAATTTAAAATAGAATTTATTGAATAAGAGTGTATTATAAACCAATGTACAATTTATTGACATTTTAGATTGTTTTAAGATAAAGTCAATAATAACGAACAATACTCTTTAATGTCGCATCTATCTAAACAGAAGAAAAAAAACATTAGAATAGTGAAGTAAATGGATATAAAGAAAAAAAAAATAATAATAATTAAACGTGTAATTAATTATCTGTATGTGAAAGTATTCAGGTTGTATGTTTCACAAAGATACAATGACTAGATGATTTATAAATATTTTAAAAATGTATATTACAATTTAAACCAAAGTACAATAGTCCAAAAATATATATTTATATATTTACATTAAAATAAAACATATTAGATTTCTTTTAACAATTTATTTATAACTCGCCTATAATTGTGTATATAGTATATAAGCATTTAGATTCAGATTGTTTAATTATTTCTTTGTAAATGTAAAATTTTTTAGATTGATCAAAAGGATTAAAAGTATATTCGAAAAAATTTAAAAGATTTAAAAGAAATTAAAGCGTATGAATATAAAACAATTTTTATAAATTATTATATTTTCGCATCAAGGATATTTTTTGAAAAACAAAATTAGTAAAAAGTTGTGAAAAAGAAAAAAATCAAATGATTCATATATAATCATAAAAATGTATAATATAATTCAATTATTTCTTTAATTTATTTTCTATTATTAAAAATAAAAATGAAATCTTTTTTTATATTTTCAAACTTTATCATGGTATGATAATCTATAAATTCGAAATTTAATTACACATATCGCCGTGATGATGTCACTAATGTGCAATGTTAATAACTTATCGACTGTACTCTACGATCACTAGACTACTGTAGTAGTAATAATAATAATAATAATAGTAAACTGTTCCTACAGAAGAAACAATGAGAAAAAAATAGCATTGAGAATTCTATTTCAATCATCTAATTAAAGGAAACAAAACACACGCCATTTCGAGGATTTGTATGAAAATTTATAATGGAATTGCGAGCTTCTTCTTTTTTCCCGCGAAGTTCCAAAGGCGCCACTGTAGTAAACTTTTGTTTTTTTTATGAAAAATAATAAAAAAACATTGTTTACGCAAACGACGAGTACAGACGTAATACCTAATCGATTTTAATGAACAAGATCTGATTTTAAAGATGAAAGTTTAATCAAGGACGTGGCTTTTTTGAATTTTTCTAAAAGTTTTATTTTTACAACATAATTCTATTCTCGAAGAAACGTTATTTTTTGATAAGATTTTTTTCAAAAATAATAAAACATCTTTGAAAAATTTGAAAAATCCATGTTCTCGTTTAAACTTTCATCTTTAAAATAAGATCTTATTCATCAAAATCAATGAAAAATTATGCCAATATTCATTGTTGACGTAAACCATTATAATATTAAGGGCTAATAAGTAGCCTCAAAAAGTATATAGTACTGTCAGTTGTCACGCACTCATCGACGTAAAACGTAATGCGTAAGCCATAAGGATATCCACTAATCAGAGTCGATTATTCCCCTCTATATTTTTCGACTGCAAGGCGTAAGAAGCCATAGCGGTGAAAAAAAAATTCGTAAGAATGAAATTCTTACGATTTACGTCTTACGTTTTAGGTCGATGTGCTTAGAAAAGTGTTTTTAGTTTATATGAAGCTCTTTCTTTTGACAAATAAAATTTGTATTTTATTAGAAAAAGAAGAAAATTGATTAAATGTAAATTAACAAGTATTCGTTTATGTCATAAAGAAACATTAATTTTTATCAAAGGAAATAATTGAGGATTAATAATTGAAAGTTGAAAAAAAATGTCGAAAATTTTTGCTGCAATGATGAATACGAGCGAAACAGAACCGGAGTTTTCGTTTGTAGACAAGGAAGCTTCGGCGAGTATTGTTGGAATAGTACCAAAACATGCAGAATCTAGTTTACGTATAATGGAGGAATATTTAGACAAGCAACAATTAACAGATGTTATATTAATTGCAGGTATTAATTTTTCTATCGTTATATTATTTAAATTATCTAATTGATATATTTTTGTTGAATTTAATTGCACAGGCAATAAGCGTATTCCAGCACATCGTTTGGTACTTAGCGCTGGTTCTGAATATTTTGCTGCAATGTTCACTGGTTATCTACGAGAATCTAAGGAACATGAAGTTAAATTAGTAGAAGTAGATGGAGATGCTTTATGCTCATTAGTTCGTTATTGTTATACCGGTACAATATGCTCACTTACATCAATTTTTATAAATTCTGATTTTAATTCATTCTAACTCAACTTGTTTTATATTAGGATGTATAGAGATTAAAGAGGACAGTGTACAAACTCTTTTAGCAACAGCACATTTATTACAATTGCATCCGGTTGTCAAAGCATGTTGTAAATTTCTAAGAAAACAGCTTCATCCAAGTAATTGTTTAGGGATACGTATGTTTGCTGATATGCAAGGTTGCATAGGTTTATTGAAACAGGCACATGCCTATACAACGGAACATTTTATGGAAGTTATAAAAAATCAAGAATTTTTATTATGTTCTGCCGATCAGGTTGCAGAATTATTAGAGTCAAATGATCTCAATGTTCCTTCAGAAGATACCATTTTTCATGTAAGATAGTAATAATATTCTATCTGCGTTATATTTTATATTATATATCATATTTTTTTTTTGTAGGCTCTTACGGCTTGGCTAAAGTATGACCTAGCAAACAGAAAAAAAGATGCAAGTAGATTGTTGAGTCTAGTGAAATTGCCATTGTTATCACCAGCAGTAAGTTATATACCTCGCTGATATGCAAATATCAAATATTTTATAAATAAAAATTAATTTGAATTGATCAAATGAATAGTTTATAACAGACCATATAGAAAGTAACGAAATGTTTAAAGATCAAAAAGGTGCACAAGAACTTATAATAGAAGCCTTAAAGTATCATCTATTACCTGAACGCAGACCATTATTGCAATCTAATCGTACAAAACCTAGAAAAGCTACTGTTGGCGAATTGTTAGCAGTTGGAGGAATGGATGCCAAGGAAGGTAAATAATACAAAATTGTTGATAAGTGATTATTGAAAAAATTTGATAATTTCTTTTTTTTTTTTTTTTTTTAATGTAGGGCCTACATTATCGATATACTCATTTTCATTACGTGAAAATTCTTGGAAGTCTGTAGCTACAATGTGGGGAAAACGTCTCCAATTTGGTGCTGCTGTTGTTGACAGAAAATTAATCATTGCTGGTGGTAGAGATGGTTTAAAAACTTTAAATACTGTCGAATGTTTCGATTTTTCTACTCGCAATTGGAGTACTTTACCATCAATGATTGTTCATAGACATGGATTAGGTATCATAAATTTATTGTCACAGTATAGATAAATATAGGTATATAATTGATGAATCATTTTATGTAATGAATCTATTGTGATATTAGGAGTTGCAGTCTTAGGTGGACCATTATATGCAGTTGGTGGTCATGATGGTTGGAGTTTTCTTGAAACAGTTGAAAGATGGGATCCAGATACAAAACAATGGCGTTCTATATCACCTATGTCTATACAACGTTCAACAGTTGGTGTTGCTGTATTAAATGACAAGTAGCTAAATCGATTCATTTATTGTATAAAAAATATTTTGATAATAAATATATTTAATATGGTTTGTATATTTTTTTTAGATTGTATGCTGTAGGTGGTAGGGATATTAGTTCATGTTTAAATACAGTGGAATGTTATGATCCACATACGAACAAATGGACTGCTTGTGCTCCAATGTCAAAACAAAGAGGTGGTGTAGGAGTAGGTGTAGTGAATGGATGTCTTTACGCTCTTGGTGGTCATGAAGCACCAGCAAGTAATCCTAATGCTAGTAGATTTGATTGTGTAGAAAGGTAGCAAAATATATGTGGCTTATCCATTTTTCATGATATATCTCATGCATGATCTTTTAAAAAAATACATTGTTCTATAGATACGATCCCAAAACTGATACATGGACAATGGTAGCACCAATGAGTGTAGCAAGAGATGCAGTTGGTGTTTGTGTTCTTGGAGATAAACTTATGGCTGTAGGTGGATACGATGGTCAGCAATATTTGACACTAGTTGAAGCATATGATCCACACCTTAATAAATGGGAACCAGTAAGTGTTCATTCAAAGAAATATTTTATTTGATAATATTAAATTGTTCATTAATCTGATATTGTACTATAAGGTTACACCTTTGTTAACTGGACGTGGAGGTCCTTGCGTTGTTATCGAAAATTCCTTAAGAGATGTATAAGAGATGTATACCTGTCATAAATACTCGAACGAAATCTCTATTACAATCGATACATTCCTATAATAATTTTTAAAATTCATATCATATTAGAAACTATTTTATCATCTATAAATCATTCAATATCACTTATTTAATACATTCTATAATATTTAAGAGAATAAGAAACATATTATATTGATCTATATACGTGATATATATTGTGATAAATCATTTTTATTTTCTTTTGTTTTACGATAATTTATAAGTACTCTGATAAACTTTAAATCATAAGAAAGAAAACGTATATTGTATCCGAATAAGAATCCTATAATGAAATATATATTTAAAATAATTTTCAATTATATTTTATATACAAGACGACTCACACAATTAATTACAAATAATCAATCATAAATAACTCTGTTTAACAAAGTTAATGAATCAATCTTTATACATAAATATTTGTCAATAATAATATGAATGTACATACTATAAAAATGAAATAGGCTATATATAAGAACAAACTTATATTGCCATCAATGGTATAATACCTTTATTTACACGTTTTCCCCTTATTTTTATAGACATATTTTGTTTTTTTTTTTTTTTTTTTTTTTTCATAAATTATTAACTGTTTCCATCTATTTAGTTCAACGCTTCCCAAATTATTGTGTTTCTTAATTTGTATCTATTTTAATATTCATTCGTTATTAATAAATTTAGCAAGCAGGAAAAGTTCTGAAAATAAGAAATTAATATTAACTAAAGAATTAATTGTATAAATTTAATTTTTATGTTATATGAAAAACATATATTTACCGTGGAAAGTCTGAAGCAGGTTCTGCAAATTTGTGTCTAACCATAAATGTTGCAATAGCTTCTGCTACTTTATCCGGTACATCTTCATGAACAGCATGTCCACATGCTGGTAAAATTTGCATTTGAAACTTTCCTAATTATTTGATATAAAACATTTATATATATATATATATATATATATATATTAAATAGAATATTTATACAAATATATATGTAATTTGATATTAATACCTTGCATTTGACCCACTGTAAGTTCTCTATCAAGTCTATCTACCCCAGCTAATAATAATACTTTAGGGACTGGTATATTCAAAAATGATGCTGACAATCCTTTAAACCATCCAAACCAATGTTGCTCAGTTTTTGCTAAATCTATTCTCCAAACATACTTTCTATTAGTATGTAAAATAGAAGATGTAGGGGGTGGTGGCATATTTATAGATTCTTCTTCTTCAATAATATCTTCACGTTGAATCGCTGGTTCAGGACTACAGTCATATGAAGATGTTTGTGAAAGAGAATCAATGTCATGGGTTGCTAATTGATTTGTTTCAGTACTAAAAAGATAAATTAAATGAATACATCATTCTCTTGGAACTCCATATTATAATTTTATACGTAGTATGTTAATGTAAATATATAAGAATGTTTAGAAACTCACTAACTTCTTTATTTGTCCAGGTACTGAAACTTTAGCTGATTGTACATTTCGTATTTGGCCACTTCTTACGCTGAAAAATAAATATATTTAAAATAAAACTTTTATTTTATCGTAAGAACTGAATGAAAAATATACATTTAAATGCAGATCTCATTTATTTATTAACAGAGCCTATATGCATACCACCATTCAATAGCTTGAGAAATAGTACTAAAACTAGATGGCCGAGATCTTAAAAAACTCTGCATAGATGCCAAAGCATCCATTGCTGTCCCTTCAACAACATCTATTACACCCAAACCAGACAAATTTGCTATTAATGGTGCAGCTTTAACAGCTACTGCACCTCCCATACTATGACCAACCAAAATTACTGGTCCTTCATCTATAGCTACTTCTATAACAGCTGCTATGTCCCTAAGTAAAACGAAATAATTATTATAATAATCTTATTGTATCTCTCAAGTTTTTATATATAAAGAATATATATCAAATATTCAACATACAAAGCTAAAGTATCGGCAGACAAATCTTCTTCATTAGTTGTATGTGTATCTCCATGGCCTCTAAGATCAATCGCCATAACTTTACAGATTACCATCGTCATAATAGATTTCTAAAATATATAAAATAGCAAATTGTGCTACATTTCATAGATAAAATTATTAATACTTACTGTAAATTCAGCCCACGTTAATGCACTATAACCTCCACCATGTAACAAGACTAATGTTGGTCCTTCCTTTCCCTTAGTATAAATATGAAAAGTATTTTCTCCTATTTTTACGTCGGTGGAATGATCAAAGTATGGAATCCATTGTATGGGTTCATAATCCCTTTTACGTTGAAAGCCTTTTGATTTATTTACTCTGGAATAGTAAAGAAAAATTTTTTTTTTTTTATTGATATACTTCTAAGATAAAATATTAAACAATAAAATATTTATGTCGACTAACCTAGATCCATGTCCAAAATTAACACCTGGTGGTGGCAGTTTAGATTTTAATACTGATTTTTGAAGGGAAGACATAATTTATTAGCTTCAGATACGTATACTTTATGCAGAAAATATTATTAGCTCGTTCGTAGGTGAATACTCCAGTTTGACAAGTAAATCAACAATTTGTTTTGATCTCAATACCCAAGTTTGTAAGAATCATTTAGATCTGCATATCGACGAGTAGTTCTGAGTTCGTGCACCGACATTACTAGCCGAGCTAATCATATAATGTAATTTTGTATCCGCCATTATACCCGCTAAAATTTAAATATAGATATAAATTGATCCCTTTGTATTTGTAATAATTTATATATTAATGACGAAAGAACTAATTTATCTTGCACGAAAAGTTTTGAATATGTAATAAATAAAGGGCCATTCATTAATTTTTCTTTTATATTGATTTACGCCGTCAATGAGAACAATCGTAATTCTTGATCGACATTAATAAACAAAATCGTGTCATTTTAAAGACGAAGATTTAATCTAAGACATATCTCTTTTTCGCATTTTTTGAAAAAGCTTTCTCTTTTGCAAAAAAAAAAAAGTCCTGGTTAAAAAAATTTTGTATTCTTCGAAAACAATTTATGCAAAAATAAAAAAAGCTTTTTCAAAAATTATAATATCACTATGATAGATTAAATCTTCATCTTTAAAGTGATAACTTGTACGTTAAAATTTATCAAGAATTACGTCTGTTCTCAATGGTCGCGTAAATCATTAAAAGCCTAGAGATAATTAACAGCCTTTTTAATCGATAATAATTAATTATTAAGATAGAAAAGCATCGTAAAAATAGATCGTCATTTTTATCATAAAATGTACACATAATGTATCGACCAGCATCGATATTGATTTCGCACTGTCGATAATTCAGTTTTGTACACAGGAAATATTCTATAAAGTTGTAAGTCTAGATGTAGATATGCTATATTATCCGCAGAGAATATTAAATCCATTACTCTTAAGCTTTAACTATATGCCAAACAATTTTTTCATAGATCAAAAGTACAATCGAACACGTGTTTCAAATTTATTTTTATTATTAATTCAATTGTTTATAAAGAAATCATTTTAATATGATTAAAACTAACAATAGGGAGCCAAACATTTTGGTGACAGGTAATTTTTATTAATTTATTATATTATTTCTATGAAAATTTTACTTAATAATACAGATAAGAATTTTGACATAACATTCAGATCGATGACATTTGTTTACATCTCTCTGTATATTTAATTATTATTAGAAATATTTAATAACATTATAATCATTTTTTTAGGTACACCAGGTGTTGGTAAAAGTTTAATGTGCCGTATGTTGTCAGAAAAGACAGGATTAGTTTGGTTAGACGTTAGTAAATTAGCTATTGAACATGAATGTTTAGAAGAATATGATGAAGTATATCAATGTCCAATTTTGGATGAAGATAAGGTATTTTTCTATGATTTATTAAATTGATTCATAATACAATGAATAACTTTTATTAATAATCATTATTTTTTTTTTTTTATAGTTGCTTGATGTGATGGAAAATGTTATGAGTGAAGGTGGAAAAATAGTAGATTATCATGGTGCTGATTTTTTTCCAGAAAGGTGGTTTGACATTGTATTTGTCTTAAGAACTGATAATACAATTTTATATGATCGTTTAGTGGAACGAGGATATACAGGGAAAAAATTAGAAGACAATATTGATTGTGAAATATTTCAAACTATTTTAGAAGAAGCTAAAGCTTCATATAGAACAGAAATAGTTCATGAATTGACGAGTAATACTATGGAACATGTTATAGATAATATAAATAGAATATGTCAATGGATCGAACAATGGAAAATAGACAACCAAGAATCATAAAATAAGATTTATATACAATATTTTTTTATAATATAACACAAGTCCTATTTTTTCTTTAACACTGTATATATTATGTAAATAAGATAACAAGTAACAGTAATAACAGAGCATTTAACAAAATAGATTTTAGATCTATATCATATACAAATTTTGCTATTTATATATAAGAGTTCATATATGTATATATGTATATATATATATATATATATATATATATATATATATATACATACATACATACATACATACATATATATATATATACACACATATGCATCATAAATTACATATTTGGCATGTATATTTAAGTAAATTTAATCTACAATACCTATATCTTGTTTAAGTGCTTTTAATCTATTTTCAATACTGGTATAATATTTCATTTTCATAAGAAATTCTTTTGCTTGTTCCGTGTTATTATTAAAAAAAGCATCTGCTACTTTCCTAAAAAAAAAAAAAAAAACAAAAAAAAATAGATCTCAATAATTTGTGATAAAGTATAATTACAATTATTTATAAAATCAAAAAGGAACAATTATTACCTGGAAAGTTTTTGCAATATTATTTTGTTTTCTTCCATTAATCGAATGACTTTTTCTTTATCATTCGAAGCTGATTCTACTTCCTCATTTCTTTCCATTATTTCCATTAAAAATTCAGGATTCATACTTGTGGTTCCTTCAGGAATTGTTATACCTTTTAATTGAAGCATATATAATCCCCTTTTCAATGGATGCGTTAGCGTACTATATGCTTTATTTAATAAAGAGGATAATGCTTCTGAAATTTGCTTTTCTCTCTAACAATGTATAAAACAAATATAATAAATTAGTTTCAATTATATAACATTATCATTGTTTAGATTAGATTAATGTTATTATATATTTTTAAATGTTAAATATTTTTAAGATGACATAAAATTATAATAATTAAAAATACTTACCTCCATTTTATTGCCAAATTTATCAGGATGCAACATTTTTTGCAACTGTCTGTATTTTTCATGAATTTCTTCATTGTTAACATTATAATTCAGTTTGATACCAAGAATGTCGAAATAATTCAAATTCTCTGGCATTTCTTGAAGAGTCTTACATTGTGAACAAAATAAATCCGATTTATATGCAAAATTACAATTCCAACACTTTGAGGGACTGTCGCTAGAATATTGCAAAATATTCGATGAAATAGCAGAATTAATTGTAACTTTATCCGTAGAACAAGAATATAATTTTCGTCTTTCTTTTAAATTACGATAAAAAATATTATTTTTATTGACAGTATTACGTATAACTTTTGACACAAACATTCTGATACTGTAAACATATAACCTAAATGTGTCTGTATGTGATCGTATACAAACTATTAATGATCAATAAAACGTAATACGAATGTAAGATTGCACGAAAGATATATACAGTACATGAATAGTTATTTTCTTAAAACTTTATTATATTCTAAAAGTTTATAAATTAAAATCCCTTCGTTTCATTAAATGTGAAACATTAACGTGACACGATCAAATGAATATATTGATGAATATATTAAATATAACTAATCAATTTGTTCAAATTAATCTATTTAATTTGTCATTAATAATATTAATTATATTGCATTTTATTCTTAGTCGGATACAATTTTATCTATTCAGTAATCAATGCATAAAACAATTATGTATTATAAATGCAACAAATAAGCAAAATATATCCATCGAAAAAGAAGGTCTCTTCTTATATCATAAATCTAAGTTACCAATCAGTTCCGATAGATAGCGTAAACTTTCATTTATTATTTTTTATAGTTCATGGTATTAAAGTTATAATAAAGTTATTACAGTGGCATAATTCTTTAAATAAATCTGAATATTTTTAAATAAATAATTCATAAATATGCCGACCTACGAAATGCCTTTACTTCTTCGTATAATGAATAAGGTAACATATAGTTGATTTTATAATATTTACTTTTATATAAGATGTAAATAGAAATATAGGTTAAAATGTTTTTTCTTAATCTTAAAAGATTTTTATACTAGTATTACATATGAATTTAAAGTTCAACTTTTAATTAATATTTTTTCTGTTAATGAATTTAAATGAATTGTAGCCAGAAACATTTAACGCTTTGAAAAGAACAGCAACTGCAATTTTTGATAAAGGTGGGATTATCAGAAAAATAGAGAATTTAGGTTTGAAAAAACTTCCATGCAAACTAAGCTTTAGAGGAAGGACTTATTGGGAAGCAAAGTAAGTTTCATAAAATATAAAAATATATATATGTATCTCTATCGTTTTCCTCATGGATCTATCTTAAATAATTATATATACTAATTCCATTATTTTTAGTCATTTTTTATATTATTTTGATGTGCCTCCATTAATACTACCAGATCTTATAGATGAATACAATCGAGATATCGACATCCTTAGAACTAAAATATACAAAAAAAATAGCATTGAACCCATTGAATGCACACTTCATGAGGAATTATTGCCTCCTGTGTATAGGTAAATATTTAATTATTTTTCTTAAATAAAATATATATATATTATGTTTGTTTATATTATTTCATATCGTAAATACTATTTTGTTATTTTAGGAAAAATGTAATACAATTAATGGAGGTTGCAGAGATACAGAAAAAGAAACATAAGAAATTACAATATGATCGCGAAATGAAATATTATCCTTCAAAACCTAATCAGGTTTCATAAATTTCATTATTGATAAATATTATCATAATCTTATGTATATAGCTTTATAATAAAGTAAATGACTCTATAAAAAATTAAAACATTTAGTTTCAATTAGTTAGATATAATATGAGCTAAAAGTAAAATATCTATAAGCTTTATGTCAGAAATAAAAATTTATTTATTGATTTATCATTTATTTGCTGATATTTTAGTTACATCATGAAAAATTTTTTCTTATAACCATCAAAAATATTTGTACAAAATACTTAATATAATTATATATCGTATATCATTATATATAATGATTATTATAATCATCAATATCTCACGTGCAACATGAACTTGTAATATAATTAATATGGTTACGTTGTAACACGTACGAGTTTTTTTTTTAACGTAACAGTAACAGAGTAACTTTGCAATAATGGTTCTGTATTATAATATATTTGTAATACATAACAATTATTTCTCTACACTGTCCAATATAAAAATCCACGTGTAGCATATGTCTTTGTTCTTGATTTAATAAGTATATATTCTACTTGTTTAGTCCAGAGAGCTATATACTTGCACAGTAATTGTTAATTGTTTAAAACGTTTGATTTGTTTTTTTATCTGCTTTTATTATTACCAGGACAGGTAGATTAGAATTTACAACATACCGATACTTATTTCGATATTCAACGCACGCGTAAATGGTCTTTTATAGTATGTTTATTTATTTATTTTTTCTCTCTGCTTACTCCTATTATATGCATAAGTATATTTTATATATATATATATATATATATATATATATATATATATCTTACGCATAGATCGAATTTGGCCCGCTGAAGAAGAAAGTTATGCGATAGAGTACATCTATAGCTTGAGTACTTATGGAAGTAAAATAAAATAAAATAAAATTATAGTGCGTTCTCATGGAAGAATTTGTTCCATGTTAATCTACGGTTTACATATGTCTGGTGTTCCCAAAATTAATGCCACTTTGATTGGCACCCTTATTGCTACCATATTGTAGACTTATCACACCTTGGCCAGCTCTAAGTTGTTCCTCGGTGAAATTACGAACATTTTTGTCAGCTTCTTTTGGTCCAATACTTGGCTTACCATAGTTACCCGCCTAAAAGATAATAAATTATTATTGAATGGGAAAAAAACAAAACGAGAAAAAAGAAATAAATAAAAAACAGAAACACGGAAGAAAAAGGAAATAAATTATACCTTTCTTCCAAGAGATTGCAAGCAAATGACAACAGAGTTCAAATTTTGTCGTTCCCAAAGATCAACAGTTTGAAAGGTTTCCTGAGGTGGGACACCTAATGCTCGTGCAGCTTCAAGGAATGCATTTATATTTTCCATACACTTGAAAGCCAAAGTCGTTTTATTGATCTTTTTCACGGATCCTTCCTTGATGTCATTCACCAACCTGGAAACATACATAAAGATTAATAGGATATTGCATTGCTGGAAAACGTTTTATTTGATAAATAGAGATTGAAACAAACCTGCAGAGAAGTACACCATCTTTCAGAACCTCATAGAAACTATCCATATCACCATTGATATTTATGTCCTCACCAGTGATCGTCTTGATCCATTCCAAACATTCTTGAGCTAGTTCTTCACTATATTTACTATTTATCTGTAAAAGAAAAAACAAAGGAAAAAAGATATTTTTAAGATCGTTCTCTTTTATTTTTTAACATAAGACAAATGTTACACTTTTTCTTTTCCTTTTGTTTTTATTTTTTATATTTTTTATTGTTTTTTTTTCTTTTTTTTTTTTTGTCATTAAATGAAGCAACGACTTCTTTATCTATTCCTATCAAGTTATTAATTATACGAGGTTCCACTGTTCTAAGTAACGCATCCTGTAGGGTTCTGCGACATGAGCGTTACTGCTGGAGTCACTGACCTAACTCGTTTGAACACCAGTTCGTTGTTCCTCCGCTGGTACGTATGGATCATCTCCATAAGTATATGCAACGCGTTGCGTTCGAAGAGAAGATTTATTCGAGTCAATTCACGTCCGGAGGATCTCATTACGTTTTTAACGATACAACGTGTGTATCTAAGTACCTAAACGTTTGTTCTCTCTTAAACAATGTACATGTACATGTAAAAAAAAGTAAAAAGAAGTATAAAGATCAGCTTGACACGTTCATGAATGAAAAGATTTAAAAAGATCTTAAAACCGATATAATATGCCTTTACCTCAGTACTTAAACGTTTGTTTTTAAGGAATACAGATATGTAAAAAAAAAAAGAATCAAAATTAGTCTCATACATGTACACGTTTAACACGAATTATAGAATTGAAAAAAAGAAAAGAAAAATATATCTGAAAATTCTTTGAACGGGCACAGAGATTGATGAAATCATCAATTCTTTACGTGTTTATCAAGGTGACGAAGAAATTTAATAGAAAGATCTTTAAATTCTCAAAATGGACATGGTACAACAAAAAAGGAATGAAACGATGTGCGACGATTGAAACGATCGAACTTCATCGTTTACCCAAAAAGGAATGGCATCCGAAGTTGGACCGACGCCCCGCATTCATCTCTCCACGATGTATGCATATATTCCGTTAGACATACGGTCTCTTTCTCCTCTCTCTCTCTCTCTCTCTCTCTCTCTCTCTCTCTCTCTCTCTTTCCTTCTCTTTCTCTTTCTCTTTCTCTTTCCATCGTATGCAATTTATGCATCCCGATGCACTTCACGCGTCTCAAACTAGTCGCGAATCCCGATCGCGACTCGAGCGTTAGAACAACATACCATCATTCCGTCTGCCCATCTGCTCCTGCCTCCTTCTGTAAAAATGTTTTCGCATTTGGTCTGCTCTAACCAACGATGGAAATTTTCTGCATCTACCGAACGCACCTCGTAAAACGTGCTTTTGCGCTTTTACTTTATCGCTTTAAGAACCTTGACTTCGTTACCCTGGAGAGAAAGAGAAAGAGAAAGAGAAAGAGAAAGAGAAAGAGAAGGAGAGAGAGGGGGGGAAATTGTCTTGCAAAGTAAACATGACGATTTGACCTTCCTTTTGTAATTGATCATTCCTTTTATTATTATTTTTATTATTATTACTCGTTTTCTTACTCGTAAGCAAGAAGATATACACGACAATTCATTGTCACATTTTCTGTAGTACGATATGTATGTGTATATATGTAATATATATTCGATGTAATAAAAAGTTATTTTCTAATTTTTTAAAATCTATATCTTGTATGAAAGAAAAAGATGTTTCACAAATGCAAAATAGTTCTCAATGTGTTTAAGTTTCAATGGTAATTTACGATAATTAATAATCGATATTTATATAAAGGAAAATTTATATTAGACATTTGACAAATAAAATATTCATATCGTTGTACTTCAGAACGAACGTTACAAAAACTTTTACATACAAACATATTTGTCTTATATTTACGTATATATATATATATATATATATATATATATACATATAAGTATTCAAAGAAATGTAAACAGTAGATGACGAGTATTTACACGTTACGTTACTACATTATTTAGAGTCACATTATCAGAAAGAAAAAAAAAAAGAGAGAGAGAGAGAGAGAGAGAGAGAGAGCAAGGATCTGGTTTAAGGACAACAATCTTTTTCGTTTAGTTGATCTTGGTACTCGAAGAAGGAGCAATGGTAGAACATAACTCTTATACGAAGCATTCTCATTCTTCGCTTTATTCACTTTTACCTGAGACGTCGTTCAGAACTCTAAAGAAGAAGAAGAAGAAGAAGAAGAAGAAGAAGAAGAAGAAGAAGAAGAAGAAGAAAAAGAAGAAAAAGAAGAAAAAGACAAGAAAAAGGATAAGATAAAAATCGTCCTTTTATGTTCGAACAAGCTTCTTCGTGGAAGGAAAATTATTAGTCATAAGAGTCCGACCAAACGATTTATTCTCAGGAAGGTAATAAGT